ATTCTTATATAAAACATTAAAATTGATGCAAGGAACTTGAAGATCCAGTTAGTCGGATCATGTTTTGGTCACTTCTTTTTTAAAGCTGTCGAGCAGAGTTGCCACATCTTAGCAATGTGACTGTCAGGTTACCTTCTGCTGTGATGGTCGAAACTGTGACAATAAGATAAAAGAATGTTCTTTTAATTGTTGACAGACTCTAAAGCCTGCTGTCCAGCATTTAAAGTTTCCATATGCCCAGATTTTTTAAGATCAGGCTTTTTTATTGTAGTTTGAATTTGAATTGGATTTATTATAAATGTTATATTTACAGTTGAGTTCAATCAACCTTCACAAGTGACTTTGAGACGCAGTCTTTAGAGTTTGTCTCGCCCACACTCGTACATGACGTTTCCTTCTGCCTATCGATTCGTAGGCAGGAGGAATTCATTCATTAATACTGAAAACACGAACGCAGCTAACCAATATATAAGTACTGTTTTATTTTTCTCTTTCACCTCAATGTTAATTTGTGTCTAAACATTTTAATGAAACAAAACTTTGCAAACTGGGTCCTCTGTTCGACAAAGTGTTAACTTGAATTATTTTGTACTGATTTACACAGCGGTTTAATACGGATCAAGTGTATGTATGACACTACATGATATAACTTCAAATGTCTTTGTTTTTTGTTTGACTTTGAATAGCTGTCTCTCCTGAGTTATGTGTACTACCTATATATGTGCAGTACCTCAAACAGGCCGATAAAAATGGACTCATCAGTTGACAAATACCTACCTCCAGTCTTGAAAAGGAACGATTTTACCGGTTTACTTTCAGCGTGAGTTACCTTGACGTGTGATATGATCTATATCAGGTCTACAGAAGCTCCTCACTTAACATGCTGTGTACTGGATCTTTCAAGTGTCCGATCTCAGTACATTTGGATTCACACCCTCAAAGTGACCTTCAGGTTTATAACAGATATTTTTGGATTCTGTATATTTCATTCATGGATATGTTTTCTTGTTTTTAATTAGTAGATATCAATATACTTGATTAGCTGTTATGTGTACTTTACACAAATGTGATTTTCTTGTCTTGTTATGTGGTTAAACCAGATGTATATGGAATTGCTTTTCACTTAGTGATAGATCATATTTTCATGGCCTGTCATCATGGCAACCTTGAATCGTTAACATGGTATTTTGAATGTGGCCAGAGGTAGAACCTCAGAGAAGCTGTGGTGAACTCTTCGCTAAACCAACCACCTGCACAGTGTTGTGGACTGTAAAGCAGCCTCCAGTCAAATTCCGTTTCTGTTTGCGCCCCGTTTTTTTCATCGGTGAGGGGAGAAGATCTCAGAAAAAGTAGACAGTGAAAAGACTGACCTTTGACACCTTTCTGCTGCCTCTTAAGATCTGAGATATAACTAAAAATGTATAATAAACTAATAATAAATGTATTATTGATGGTTAGCACTCATTATCTGGAGGTCAAAATTTTTTTAATTGTACAGATGAGTAGATTTTGTGTATCTAAGGCTAGAAAAACTGAATTTGAGTAAATTGGAAGGACTACATATTCATCAACAATGACAAAACCAAGAACGATTTGTTTTTCCTTCAATAACTAACTTACAGTATCCAAACACTGTGCCGGTTACGCTGTTTCTAACTATGCAAACAGTCTGAATCGAGAGAATCACAATGTGCTGTTAAATGAGCTAAACTGTGCACTGCTGTTGAGGCAGGCTTATCAGTGGCTTTTAACAAATGGCTGAAACAGACAGGCTTCATCATTTCAAGAATCATTAAATAGCAGATGGCATCATTGTGTGATCTGTAGGTATCTGGGTGAGTAAAATACATTTTAAACAGTTTTAAAGGGAAGCTACACCATTCAATTCTCGGAGGAAGACACTCAGTAGATCTTACCTTCACAAAGGCCCATCAGTCTCCTTGAATTCAATCAAGCTGCACCAAAATTGCTCACACTGAACATGGTCCATGCATAAACTGGTGCAAATGTCAAAAAATGCAAAACAAAAATCTGAAATCTGAAAAATCTGAAAGTGATACAAATTCTCGGATCCACTCATGAAGAAATTGAACCGGTTCTTTCTGGGTCCATGTCTCATCCTAGTTTTGTGGAAATCCATTGAGAGGATTTTGCAAAATCCCACTTACAAACAAACATGAGCAATTTAAAGGCCCATTCTGGTCCTTGTGGAGAAACTTGTTCAGGCTTGAATGCAGGTGGGCGGCCCATGAGCTGTGTTAATGACCTGCGTTGATCAGGATTGCCACTGTTGTTAATGCAATCAACAGTTACAGTATGTGTGAGCGGTTCGGTACCACTGTTTGTACTCGTACCTCAGAGTCTTGTCTGTCCTGACATGGTCAGGAAGGCAGCAGAGAACTCACTTGAACCGAATTTTCAAATCTGAGCATTTGAGTCGGTCAAAATATGTTTTGCTAGAAAAATCCCCTCATCTGACATTCTATACCCAACACGGATTTGTGTGATAATGCGTGCAGCTCAAAAAATTCAAACACAAGGTGTAGTTTCTCTTTGCTGCACTCACAATGCAGTGTATCCAGATCACATGATAATACCAGATGTAAATGGCATCTACAGAGCTCAACCAGCTCCAGGTTTTGAGCTCTTCATTTCCCTCAGAGATGTGGACTTGATTTCAGCAGAGTGTAAAACACCAGCTCATGTTCTCTGGCAGAATGACTGTAGAAGCCACTGTTGTCGAGCTCTCAGCTCCGGGAGTCTTAATGAAGTTGATCTTTTCTCTTCATGATATCATGTTCTAGTACAATCAAATACACATTACTACCTCCAGAAAGGCCTGCTTTTACCTCGTTTTCAACTTTAAATACTGTTTAAAAATTCAGGTGTCTGAGAGCGATTGGAGAACATCTTAAAATGTATATGTATATCTATATATATAGATATACATATAGTTATTTTTGTCTGGGATGCATTTTGCAAGATGTTTTTTCTCTGCCTCTCCGTCACCGTTAGGTAAGACTGGACATTTACACTTTGAAAAGGAATTTTCTTACTTTATACAATGTTATGTAGTTAGCCTGTGAGGTGGGTGGAAAGATGTCCCAGCTCTCTGTCTGCCTTGCTCCCTGTGTATCGTTTCAAACGTCTTCTTCCGTGTCTAACTTTTATTGCTTCCTCTATCCACCTAATATTACTGTCTTGACTTCACTACAGATTTTGCTTGCTTGCTAAACAAAGTCTTTATAGGTATTCACTGTGTTTTATTCAGCACAATAAAATGTATGGCATCCATAACATATGTCTGAGTATTTATTTTGGGCACAGCAGGAAGGATTAACACGTCACTTCCTGTGTCATGTGGCGCTTAGACCACACCTACTAATCATGCATTATGTATTGACATATGAATCTGTTCAGGCCGGGACTCTGATCAAGGGAGAGAAATTTGGGGCGGATTGGACAATGCACAGTGGAGTTAAAACAACTTCCTGTGTTGTGTCAAATTTTCCACAGGTACTTTTCTTTTTTGTGATTAATATATTTTATTGTTTTTCTTTAATGAGGCAAAAAAACCACATCAGTCACATCATAGGGCAATATAAGATTTCAGAGACATGACACCCGGAATATTGACAAAAGTTACACAATCGTAGTTGATCCACACATTCAGGCGTCAGCTAAGGGAAGGTCACTCTTACTCACCAACTGTGATGTGGGAATGACCAGCAGAGCTCCACTCACCACCAAAACATGAAGGGGTTAATAAGTCCTTAAAGGAGTTAGAAGTGAGGCTATTTATTGCTTTAAAAGTGAGGAGTGGAATTTTGAAATCAATGCGGAATGTTGAAGGCAGACAGGGCGGGTTGACAAGTTCAGGAGAATTCTGTTAAAAAGTATAGAAAGTTTATAGAAAAGTTTAGAAATATAAGCATGAAAATAAGTATATACTGAAGATAGAATGAGGCATATTTCTATATATGTATGGATACATTTTTCTCAGTTGTAGTCCCTGTCGGTGGAGGGAGCTCTGACTGATGCCAACACAAAATGCATTACAATAATTATGATGAGAGAAAATATTGAGTAAATCAGTAGGAGATGATCTGATTTTCGAGGTTTATTAAGTTAAAAGAAGAAGGCTCACTTGAGCATCAAAGAAAAGATCTAAATCAGTGATAATATTCTTGCTGATTTCTCTAGATTTCTCTTGAAGTGGGCTATTAAAAACTAGAGACTGTGAAAATCCCAGATCAGCAGTTTCAGAAACACTCAAATCTGTCAACTTCACCAAGATCAGACATTTTTCCCTCAGTCTTGCGTTTGATATAAACATCAACTGAAGTTTCCGACCTGATTAGATGGCTGCATACTGAATTGTAATTGACAGCCACAAAGACGATAAGGCTGTAATAGGTTCAACATCTGTCCAACAGTAGCTCCTGTTACCCAGAAACTGCAAGAAACACTTGGCAGCCCCACTGAAGAACCTGTTGAGCTCTTAGGACAATAAATGAACAAGCGGAGCCACACACGTAGAAGACAAGACGAAGATGTCAGGAGAGCTGACACCGGTGTTAATGTGCTGCAAACAAAAACACGTGATCTCTGCAGTAGAATTCTATTCATCACATCCTGCCGCTGCCTGCTGCACCACCAGAACACGCCGGCGATTTCTGAAAGGAGAATCTCCCGCTGTGTTGTGCGTGTGTGGAAAGTCTGGAGCCAATCCTCTGCACATCCTCTGGAGATCATGTCTGACAGCGGTTATAGAGTCTGTCCAACACATCAACATTAGCCTGCTCTCCTCACCCAGTGAAACCTTTTGACATTATTCCACTGTGACGGCGGCTGCGTATGATACAGGAGCCATTTGGTGTGGAAGGGGCACGAGACATATTTCTCTTCATCTAGCTTCAGATTGTTTCCGTCTATGACCAGGAGCCTACTGACTCACTTCCACTCATCCCTCACTGACTCAGTCCTCTGTCACTCTCACCACAGCCCAAGAACAACCCCCCCCCCCCCCCCCCCCACATCCTCCTCTCCTCTCTCCCCACTCCTGTGATTCATTTGGGCCTCACTTTGCCCCCTGCTTCACTTCTTACAGTGGAACTCATCCTCCTCCTCCTCCCCCCTTGCCCTCGCCTTTGAGTATGACCCCAGTTTAATGAAGCACAGACTCCGAAGGCTGACCGAACCACAGCAGCGAAGAGACCCCCCCCACACACACATACACACACCCTCCCCTTCCACTTGCCACTCAGGACCACTCCTAAGTGGCGCACCATTCAACATTTCTCTGAGAATCAAAGCTATGCAGATTCTGCATCTGAAAGTCCTCAGGCAGCTGAGCTGTTCAAATAAAACAAAAAGGGAAAAACTCATGGGTTTGGTTTGCACCAAGATGTTCAGCCATTGAAGAGAAAGATTTCTGTTGGCAAGAAAAAAAACTTCAGTGGTAACCTGAAGCTGCTTTCGGGGGAATTCCACCTCAGCAGTGTCATGACCAAACTCACGGGACACCAGGAAGTGTTCACTGTTTTTCACCAGGGAAGCTCTTTATCTACACTGCAGAACTATTCATCTGCAAGGCATAACTCATAAATCACTCCCAGTGTTGTGCTTATAGATTTTTCTTTTTTTTGTGGGAATTGTGTAAAACTCTGAAACATAACAGAGAAGAAAAACTCTGGGAAAATTCTACAAAAGATGATTTGTAATAAATAAATGTATATTTGCACACCTTATCAATTCAAACATGCCTGTTTGTAAGTCCAGAAATGTTATTCTTTATTTTTGGACGAATTTTCCCTGAATTCAGTCTGACACACTGGATTTATTTCAAGGTATTGGGAACACAGTTTGGTTGCATGATTCATATGTAAATAGGTTTGCATATAAATGTAAATCAGGACATAAATCAGTTTTTTCAGTCTCATTTCTCAAATCATCCTGAACAACTAACATTAAAAACATTAAAAGCTGTGGTGCTATTTGCCAAAATCTAGCACTGCACTGACATCTAGTGGAGAGTCGAGAACATCATCATTGGTACAACATAAACAATGCAAACACAATTACAAATCAGTTCTGTAGAATCAAGAGTCTTTTTATTGTGCAGAATCTTATGTTGATAAAACGTCACATGTGCTGGTGTGAATCATTTCTGTCTGACAGGGGCCTTTTGTTTACGCACACACTTAAAAACAGCTAATGTAGCTAATTATGTAAGTTAAACTTATTTTAAATAATAGGAGTTTTTAATGTTTGACTTGTTTGGTTTAATGTATTATAAGATTGCACATGCGCTGTGTAAGCAGTGGGATGTTTAAACTTACATTAAATGCCGTTTTCTTGCAGCCTGTTAAATGTCGACCACACACATAATCAAAAGCTTTTTTCATTGATTGTTTAACCACCTCTCCTGCACAGTCACCACCAGGTAGAGCTGAAAATACACACTGTGGCTTTTCGCTTTAAGTTTTTTTTTTTTTTTCTCACAAGGACTACACAACAATGCAAGGCCTCCCTCACATATGTGTCCATAATATTATGCAGCAGCTCCATGGTAACGGAGCAGGATTCAGCTCAGGCCTGGCCTCTCCCTGCCGCAGATCCGATATGTGCCTCTGCATAAGTCTGGTATGTAACAATTACTCAAACATGTGAACGTACGCTGTGGTCCAGTCCTCCAGGGAGGAAGCCTGTCAGTACATCATGGCCCTTTAACTTCAAAGTTAGACCTCTCCCTTCTCCCATTTTAGTCTGGACCCATCTCCTTCTTCTTCTAACTCTTCTCATTATTCTGATTATTGTTTTATGACTAATACATCTTTAGCTCTCCTATAGACTTCACCGTTTGCTTCTGGCTGTGAGGACCAAACAACATGTTCCTGGGAGAACAATGGGAAAGCCTTCAGTGAAAATGCTGTGCTCGTGTAGCCCACAACATTTGAGACAAGTATCTTTGCATTGGAAATTGTATATTCTGTTGCAGCTCTACTCTGCAGCTGGCATCTACTGCGAACTTATCTGGTAATATTAAACTAGTGTGAACAAAGTGCATGCTCCTCTGTATTTACAAGGCTCTGCTCTTAAAGGTACAGTGTGTAGAATTGAGTGACATCTAGAGGTGAGGTTGCATGTTGCAGCTGAATACGCCTCATTTCACCCTCACCTTCCCAACACAGAAAACCTGTGGTGAACTTCAGTTGTCATGCAAACTCAACAGGTTTCAGTTTGTCCAGTTTGGACGACAGTAAAAAACACAGAGAGGACCCCTGCATGTAAATATAAAGTTTGTACATGTAAAGAGCCCATTCTATGGTGAAGACAATAACAATTCATACAATTTAGAGGAAACACACCGGTGAAAAACATCACTAGGATTATTTTATATCCAATTTCTGCCGAAAATTCCTTTGACCCAAATCTTACTTATGGACCTTTATGTAATGTTTCCTAACAAAAGCAGCAATATATAGAAAAAAAATAATTGTTGAATTATGTTTTTGCCCTCAACATGATGAAGTTAATTTATATGATTTAATATGTTCTTAAAGTGATAAAAGTAAGGGTAAAAAAAAATCCACTGAGAGGATATATATTTATATAATATGTCATATTATGATCATCTAAAACAATATGATATGATATAATATGTCAACAAAGTGATAAAGTTAAGGCTAAAATATAATAGAATATAACATAATAACAAAATGATAAACTTAAAAAAGACTTTCACTGAGGATATATATATATTAAAATAATAATTAATATTATGATAAAATAATAAATCATGTAATGTCATGTAAACAAAGCGATCAAGTTGAAGGTAAAGGGCTTTTACTGCGGAGAGATTCCACTTCCGCCCACAGCACAGGTTTCCGGGTTGTAGTCAGGAAGTGAAGTGCTGACAGGTCGGTCGTGTCTGTTGCTGCCGTTCACTCTGCCCGGCATCGAACTGTGCTCTCCATCATGTCCGCCAGGAACCCAGGCACCAAGCTCGGTGAGTCACCTCCATTCATTCACCTCCTTCTTCTGTGTCTGTAGCTCAGCTCGTGATTAACACGTGGAGTCGTTTCCGCTTCTTGTTCGCGTTCCACCATCTGTGTCAGTGGAGCCGATCCGGAGTCAGTGGAGTCTGTTTAATCAGTAACGTGTCGGAGGTAACTGACCTGCTGAGCGTCGCTGTCACTTCATCAGCTGACAGGAACACATCGACGCACACGTCCCGTTAGATGCGCTGCGGTGCACAGAGTCAGTGGAATTGAGAACTCGTGACATCCATCCCTATCCGCTCAGCTGACCTGGTTAACATGGTTTTTACCAAGATGCAGTGTTGGATCCCTTTAAAAACAAAAGTCTAACCATTTGCATATTCTATGTTGTGTATTTATGCTGCACGCCGGTGGAGATATTGTGTGTGTGTGAGAGAAATTACTCAACAGCTCATGGATGGAGTTTCACCAAACTCCAATGATTAACTTTTGCAGCAAATCTGTCAACAGGTCAACAACAATATGGTCCTATCACATTTTCTAAGATATATAATTAAGAAAATGACATAATGCATTGTTTTAACACTGTCACTCTTTTAGTTGACTGATGGATTTGTGTGTTTTTGTCTGCAGACCTGGAGCGGGTATCCAAAGTGAGAGTGAACACGCAGGCCGTCCTGAAGAGAGCGCAGCAGATCCAAGGACATAAGCTCCTGAAGAAACAGTGGCAGGTAGAGCTTTCCCTCCCCCTTAGTGTGCTGTTACACACGTCTACATGTATGTTTTAATGCTGTCTGCAAGAGTGGACGAGAAGTAAGAAAATAAAAACTTCTTAGGAACTGATCAGCAAGGTGAACCCACGCTCACTGGAGTTCCACTCTTTCTGGATCTTCTGGATCCAAGATCTTGAACCAATCTCAAAACAACTTTTTCCTCGTAATGTTGTGACTTTTTCTTGAAATATCCTCTCAAAACCTCAGATACTTGTGGCCTTAATACTCCTTCGTAATACTGCATTACTCATCCAAGTCTTTACAGATTCAAATCTGTCTGATCCAGCACCTTACCCACATTTTTCTCTCACAGCCAATGTTATCATGTAGAATAATATCACAGTAGTAACATAAGAAGTTGTAAACCGTTGCACAGATCTAGTCTATGGAAGCAGATTTCACACAGATGTCCACACTGTCTGTTTGACAAAGTGAACTAACCATGAAGACAAAGTCCACCACAAACTATTTGCACATATGTTGGCTTCCCCGTCATTTTGCCCTTGTTGTCCTTGTGTCCTGCAGGCCGCCTGGCTGCTGAAGGCTGTAACATGTATTGACCTGACGACTCTGGCTGGAGACGACACACCATCCAACGTCCACCGGCTGTGTCTGAAAGCCATCCAGCCGGTCAGGTGTGACCTGCTGCGGAAGATGGATATGCACGACAAAGGTCTGCTCCATTAAAAACATTTGTCCAAAACAAAATTCCACCTGCAGGGGGCGACACAGACCAGTTTATGACGGTTTCTTTTTCCCTGCTCTGTCTGTTGCGTGTCAGGAGTGACCACGGCAGCGGTGTGTGTGTATCCATCTCGTGTGGCTGATGCTGTAGCATCACTGAAGGCAGCCAACTCCAGCCTCCCTGTTGCTTCAGGTAAGTCTCACTTTTTACTGCAGGACAGAAATGAATGGCGAGATGATCAGGTGTGTGACCGTGCACGCTGTGTACCTTGTTCTTCCTCCTCTCGCAGTGGCCACCGGTTTCCCAGCTGGCCAAACTCCACTGGAGACACGGCTGCAGGAGGTCCGAATGGCAGTGGCTGACGGTGCCGCCGAAATCGACATCGTCATCAACAGGACGCTCGCCCTTACAGGACAGTGGGAAGGTACGCTGTGATCACATGACGCGGAAGTTACTGACAAAAGCATTCCTGCTTTTCCTAAGGGGGCTTTGGGCCGTAAAGCACAGTCCTTGGCTGCAGATGGGGTTGCTTAGTTGTCAAAGAGCAGTTGAAATATAGAATTACAAATGAAAGTTTGCTACTTATCAAAAAGCAAAATAAAATGTGATGAATTGGATTAATTAGTAAAGTGCAGTATATAAAGATGGAACAGGCCTCTCAGATACATGAACCCTTGGAGGTATATGTGTGTGTGATAAGATACATCTCTGTGACTTTGGTCCATGTCCCAAGACACGGAGGAGGTGTCTATGACCTGTACCGCTGCCAGCCACCAGGGGGAAATCCAGATGTTTTGGCTTGAGTTTTTTGGGAGCTGTCATCTTAACTGTATTCATAAACAGTCTATCAAACAGGCACTGTAACAGGATAGAACACGTCTGACAGCCGTGCATGCATACATATTAACCTCTCTATGAAAATGTGTGTTTGTGACGTGCCCTGAGCTGACAGTGTTTCGTTCACTCAACTTGAGCTGAGTTAAAGAAAACGCAGACATGTCACACAGGTAGGGATGGAATAAAAGAGACGGGGAAGTCTGTGATGCTGCTGCACAGATGAAAAGAGCTGTGGAGGAGGACAAGGCTCTCGTAGAGCGAGCGCGGCTGCCACGTCGGTGGTCCTTTTCTCGCACAACCAAAGAAAGCTGCTGTTTTGTCAGAGGTTTCCCTTGGGAAGGCTCTCTGTAACGCACAAACTGCTGCTGGGTCTGCCTGAAGGCTGCTGTGCGCGTCACATAATAAGACGTGAAAACCATTCCGTACAAAACCACTCAAGATTCAACTTTGAAGAAAAGAAGCACGACGAACATTGGCAGAACTTCTGCGGGTTAGATGAAAACAAAAATAATCGGATGCAATCCAGAATGTTTGACGTGGACCTGGTCGGGACACCACAGCAGTGATATGTGATTGCATGAGTGCTAAACGGGTAGGGAGATGAATGACATTTATAAATGGCACAGTGAATGCAGGTTCGTATATGATATTGAATGAAAAGATGCCCCCCAGTCTCAAGAGGAATAACAGAAAAGCACATTTCTAGGTTGACAATTTTCCCAAACACTGCAAAAAAAGAAATTACTGAAGAGTTTGTAAAAAAGTGAAAACTATGGCTGGGAATTTGATAGACTTGAATCCAATAGAACACAATTGAAATACTTTAAAGTGAAAGCAACAAAACCCCTCCAGCAAAGAGGAGCTGAAAAGAATCATCTGTGAAGAATGAACATCTCTCCACAGATTTGTGTAAAACCGGTATCAGCCGTGCCCAGGAGGGTTGAATCCATGATCAAAAATAAGGATGGGCATTCAAAATGTTGAAAAAACCGAAAGAATGACAGTTTTGTTGTATAGTGTAATCCACTTACTCCTTTTAGCTGAGTTTGGGGCCAAGAGAAGCTGACTTTTTAAAAGGAAGAAACTCGATAAACCTGATTTTACTTTTTTGGCTCCAAAGTCTCTAGAGTGGGACACACCAGGGGTAATTCCCACTGCGCCATTGACACAAGTTTCTGTTTTCTTACTTTTACTTCCTGTTTTAAATGTTGAAATCGTGGATGCTCGAAGACACTTCTTTGTCTAAAACCTTCATTCTGGATGAGATGGCCTTAGCTAAGGTTTCCAATATGGACGGAGCCAGATAATAGCCGGAGGAGATTCAGTTCCTGAGATAAAGGCATGGATCCTGTATCATACCCTCGCCACAATGGTGCTGAAAAGCAGAACATTTCGCTGCGTAAAGGGTTTTTATTTTGCAGCGGGCAGCAAACCTATGCCCTCCCAAGTGTTCTTGTTTGGGTGCCTGGCCCTGACCTTTCAACCCTGCATCATGGGGGTAGCCACATCTCGCCCAACAATAACAATGTACCCTGTTCTGATGGAGCGTTGAACCCTCATTGACGGTTAAGTGGGGTTTTACTAGACGGACACAGAAATGCCAAACCACCTCTGGAGACTTTTCACGAGAAAAGGCCCAGAGGAACCTCCATGAGTGGCCGACCCATCACTAGTGTGTGTGAGGGGAGATGCACCTCCTGTCTCGCGGGGGACGGTTTCGGTCTCTCATTTATCAACTTCGAGGGGCAGTGGCGAGCTGTTTCTCTGGAGGAGGCCATCAGAATCAGGATGTCCAGATAAAATACAACTCTGATGTCCTCCCTGGGTGATGGCTCCAGGGCCATTTCTTTACATTTGGAGAATTTCCGCAGGGCAACTGACAGCAAACAGTTTTACTGACACTGAACTCCTTTGAATACAAAACACAAGGATTTCCTGTGTTTAGTGATGATGGGCACATGCAAGTAAGCGCCTTGTGGGTGAACCAGCTGTTGATGAGCCAGTGAATCTGTCTTTTCCTCGAGGTTTTGTTGAAGAGCGACAGATCTAGAAGAGATTTTATTCCAACATTCTTTTGAAAACCAGAACCTGAGGGAGAGAGTCAGGACTGTCGACCTCTTTTATTATTGTGGCCTCCAATTGTTCATGGGGGGTGAAGACACATCTGAAGCACCTGTGTGGACAGTAGTGACAGCCACTGAGGAGCCCTCTGTGCCGCTGCATGAGCTGAACGTTTGCTCAACGCAGCCCTTTGGGAGGGCAGAGATTAAAAGCCTATGGCAGGGGGTGAGGTGGGGGCATGCACGTCAGTCAGGATATCAGTTTCAGAATCTGAATGATGCCAAAGAGAGAAACCACCTCTTACTCGTACAGATGGAACTTAACATTCTTTTTGTAATTTCTCAAATGATCACAACTGAAACTTATTTTGTGTTTTGGTGATTGAATACTTTTTGTCGACATTTTGATCATCGACATGTTTCCTGTCTCCCTCCACAGCCATGTACGATGAGATCCGTCAGTTTCGAGAGGCCTGTGGCGACGCCCACATGAAAACCATTCTGGCTATTGGCGAGCTTGGCACCTTCACCAACGTCTACAAGGCCAGCATGGTCGCCATGATGGCTGGTCAGTGTCCTCACAACCTGCTCTCACACGTTTCAGTGTAACAATCACACAAATGTTCATTTATTTTGGGTTTGTTGCATCAATATTTCAGTAAATTCATTTATTCTGTTTCTGTCTGATGAGAAACTTGTTCACTCAACACAAGAAAGCTTAAAGTCGCTCTCTAGTTGTTTATTACAGCCCCTTAAACTTCCTCACATTTACATATTCAAAACTAAAATTTTAAATAGCTTAAATGCAACTCTACGCCTTCCTTTCTTATTTGGCGACTGGGATCTATTAGCATGCTAATACTGGCCCCGCCCCTGCCTCCGTCTCACCAGCCCTTTCAGCTCGACGACTGGAGAACAGTGAGGTGTCTGCAAGAAATGTCCCCAAATGAAACCAGTGATGTCACATCACGAGGTCAGGCGCAAATAGTCAGAAAGGAGCGTGGACATTCCTGGATCCTGCTTCTGGATGGCCTAGTTTCACCAGAGTAAAGTGGCAGAGACGACCTCTACCACTGAAGCAGTGTGTGTTTGACCAAAGCAGAAGCTCCTGTCGGACAAAACATCTTTTAAATAATAGAATACACACAAACAGCCTCCATGGAGTTTAGGCAAAACCATAACTGATTTCAACATTTAGGCTTTTAGGCACACAGACGTAGAATTGGTAAAGAAGTCCACGTGATGACTGAGATACTCACAGCTTGTCTACACAAGAAGCATTTAAGCTGTATTTTCCAGCTGGCCGTGTGACAGAGCAGTTTCTATCTGAATCAGTCAAGATGCCCACACAGGTTCTAACGCCTTGTGTTTTAATCACGCAATTACTACACAGTCATTACAGTATGATTGGGCTCTGAACGCTGCTAAAATACAAGTCACGCACACTCTAGGTTGTACCTTAATGCCTTAACTGCATGTAGACACGTTCAATACACACATTTGTAGTTGTATCTACACATTCACAGATCTATGCACACATATTTGTCTGCACATGTACAAATCTCAGTACACTCTGCAAATCTGATCACACACATAGATTCTGAATACACATTTGCAGTTTCCTCTATGCAAATCTCTGCTCGCTTTTGCAGATTCTTTTACATATTTACAAATCTGATTACGCACCCGCATAGATCGAGACACAGTCACACAACAAGCTGCCGCTCTGCCAACGTATGCGGCGTGAGAAGAGAGGCTGCTGTCTGTCGAACCATGTTTTGTGTCATGTAGCAGTGAAGAGGATTTAAAAAGTCTGAGGTCTCTGTAGAAGTTGGAAGGCTGTGTGTAATTCCTGCTGTCCTCCAGTATGTGACGCTGCTGCTCAGCTTTTTCTTTTACGCGCTCTCTCTCTCTCTCTCTCATGCAGACACGTGTGCACACACACGCACACACACAGGGTATGCTTAACTAGCCATCACATAATAAGCCGATTACAGAACCAAATTGTCAGGGGCTCTGATAGAGATCATTATTAAAATGCATTGCTTTTGTCGCCACACTCGCTCCTTAATCTCCTCTTGTTCCTATGAATTGCGTATGAGATTCCTGAAATTGAATGATAATTTCACCTATTAATCTCTGATGCAGGCTATTTTACTCTGCTGTTCCCCGCCAGTATCCCCCTTCCCATGCAAATGAATAGAGCTTCATTACCGCCACCCGCATTTAATAACCGTTATCCATTATCTGGTAATTAAGACACCCCATAACGAATCTTAAGGATTATGCCAGTTTGAGGAGAGGAGAGCGGCTGAAAAAAAAAAGACCTGACTGGAAGAATACATAGAACATGTCCTTAATGAAATGGAAATGTTCATCTTGTTCTGTTCAGTAATGAACAGTCATTATACACCATGGAGGCAGAAGGGGTGATTTTTTTTTCTTTTTCTTTCCTGCAGCCTGCAGTTTGTGGGTAATCTATTAAAGAGCATCATTTCATCTTCTATTTTTATCAGCAAAGCAGATAAAACATAATTGGCTGTGAAGGAAGGGAAGGAAAAATTAAGGATTTTATTGATGAGCATGCAGCTGCCCTCTGTTAGCCATCAGCGGCAGCATATGTTCCTGTCTGGCCAGGCCAGACTATCAGAGTAATGCCCCGTCCATCCTCTGTCTGCGCCCTCACACTGTGCTGCTGACTCCGCTCGCCTACTTTAGCAGCTCACCACATGTTAAATCCTCCTTTACAGGTTTGAATGTGAGGCAGCGTGATAGAAAGCATGCTGACAGATGAATGACGAGTGTAAGGTGAATATTCGCAGGACTGTATCACAAGACGACATGTCACCTGTTTAAATCCGACAGGCTCGGACTTCATCAAGACGTCCACGGGAAAGGAGTCTGTCAACGCTACTTACCCAGTTGCCATAGTGATGGTGAGAGCCATCCGTGACTACTTCTTGTGTACAGGCCACAAGGTACAGTACTTAACTCCTACAATTCTGTGGGTCGTGACTATTTCCTGGTTAATGAGGTGAAGAGAAAAGTGGTTCCGCACATTGTATATCAGCTGCGTGAATGTTGGCTTCTCTACCAGCACCATTGTCTAATTTATTACTTCCATTAACCCAGGATTCTATAACACACGAGCAGGAACTTGTAAATCTGCTCATTTTCAGTAAAGGGAGACGCCAACATCTGAGGAGACCGAGACCAAAACTCAACTCAGACCTTAACACATGGACATTTAATGTTGTGCTCAAACAAAGTATACAAATGTTGCTCTTGTTGTGCAAGTGTCTCCCGCAAAACTCCACCATTAGCCATTATTGGATTGTGAGGTATGGATGGGACAAAAACCTAAATAACCATGTACATGTTGATATAAACACACACAGTTGTATATTACTTTACTCCCCACCAGACAGTGGCAGTTCTCAATGTGGATTAAAGCAGTGTGCTGTTGGCAGATGCAGAAAGTTTGTCCTGCATCAAACAGGGTACATGTGTTGATACTTCAGATCAGCAGCCAAAGACAAATCAGGGGGATCACCACCACACAGTATACAGTGATCATCTTTAGTGGCCACACATATAGCTGCAAAGAATTTCTTATTTGTTTTATTTTGTTGTATCCTGTTTCAATCCTCAATCATGTCCTGAAGGTTTGAGAAATGACATCTTGGGAATTATTGCCAGTTATTTAGTTGATATATTTCCTTCATTATTAGAATTATTTTACTTCTGACTAACTGAATCATAAACGTGCTGCGCATTTGGTCTGAGTGAACCGTTCCAGTTGGAAGAGAACACAGTGTGATCGCTTCTCCTGCTGCAGTTTAACATCTGACATTGTTGCATTGGAAACTGTTTGTCCATGAGTATTTTGTTCTGTCACGTTATAGAGGTTGTTCTTATCCTACATGGAACAATTTGTGGCCATAATTGTGGCATTTAGCTTGTTTTCTTCCCAGGACTTTACCATAATTCACACAAACACTTCACATACATACTCGAACAATAATTTGAATAAATTTAGTTTTGACTCCTTTCTATAAAGGAGTTAAACTATTAAAGCAACTTTAGGTTTAGAGTGCAATCAAGTTAAGTGTGTGTCCTTGTGTTGTCTCAGGTGGGCTTTAAGCCGGCAGGTGGGATCCGGACGGCTCAGGAGTCTCTGGTGTGGTTCAGTCTGATTAAAGAGGAGCTCGGCAACGACTGGCTGTGTCCTCACCTGTTCCGCCTGGGAGCCAGTAGCCTGTTGGCTGATATAGAGAGACAGGTGAGGACGTACTCACAGCACACATCACCGTTTCCATCTTATTTTTCCTTGAAACATGAATTACTATTCGACATTTAAAAACCTTGTAATTCTATTTAAAACACATTTATTCTCGTGTATGCAGATCTATCATCACGTGTCTGGACAGTATGCGGCCTATCACGAGCTGCCTATGGCGTGAAGCTGTGGACTTCCTTCTTCAATGACCAATCGAAACCTCAGACTCGCCACACAAGCCTTTTGGTGGTTGCCGAGGCAACACACTGACTCATCAATTACAAATTGACACCATAGACTGTAAATAAAGATGGAAATGTCTCCACTCCCTTCAATCACTCGGAACGAGTCTGTGCGTTAATGATCAGGGGATGGATCCACTGTCTCAAGGTCTCACTGATAAACACGTTCAACCACGAGAAACATTTGCCTGACATGTATTTTGAGTTTTTCGTTTGGTTCATCTTCATATACATTCGACGTTTAAAACAAGTTCAATGAATCTTTATCTTTTACTTCCTTAAAGTCTTAAAATATAAACTCCGGCTCTGGAAATAAAAGATAATATATGTGGACATGTTTCTCCCACACCTTTGTTCTTCCCAAATACAAAAACTAATTGACACATTGGATTGCTTAGAGATTGCACAAATGGTTTCCTTTCTCCATGTACATCAACCCTGGAAGGAAGGCAAGCAGAGCTTCCATCACATCCGCGAAGCCTCCGGTTCACGCCGCCTGTCTGATTTTTGCATACACTTGTCAAGTTTCCGAACCTATCACCAGCAATGTGCGCTGAATCTGTTATCGAGGCTTCCTTTGCTCTTAATTTCATGAGCAGGAAGCTCGTCCAACTGAGGAGCGCTGGGGATTAATCAGGGGTTAAGTGAGTTTAAAAGATCTGATTGAACAGCTCACAAATTTTCAGGCTTCATTTGAAGACAGAAAACTTTCTTCTTGCTTTCCTTCTTTAATTAAGAAATCACAGGCCTTGACCTTGACTGGAACAGAGGATAAATGAGTAAATTAATTGTGGAAGGAAGGTGATGTGAGCTTTCAGCGTGGGGGGAAAAACGTGGGATTAGATGAAGAACTCATGGGAGGAGGTTGGCTGCGGGGTGCTGGTGGAAGGGCTGGGAATGGGGCCATGCTCGGTTACGAACTGTAGGTGGTGTTTTGACAAAGTCGAATACAGAACTTTGAATGGTACTCTCCAGTATTCATGCAGTATTAGAATATGACCTGGAAATTTATAACAACCAAAGGATGTCAACATGTTTGTCACACAAGAACCTCAAATTGGATTTGCTGTGGATGTTTGGGGTCCTCAGCATCAGCACCAGGACCTGTACAAGACCATAGACTGTAAATGAAGGTGACGACACATCCCCACTTCTTCCCAGATAAATGAACCCAAAGCACCCTGGAGAGGCGCTGCCGTCTTGCCCTTCGAACGTCACTTGGAGCCACGGTCTTTAAGCTGTAGCGATCGTGGAGTGGGGCCATCGTATCAATGTCCCGCCCATACACGTGTGAGTCAGTCCCAGCTGTCAGTCATGACGTTCTACCCCTTTTATAGCATCCTTGAGCTAATCCATTTGGCTTCACTTTTGTGAAGCAGCCCTGTCGTCCATTTTTATATCCAGGCTTTGTACAAGTTATACAGAAGTTATACAGAATCGACCAGCGTCGAGGCATAAAAATGAAGTGTCATGTTAAGGATCCGAGCCGTTACCAGAACCCACCTGTAACAAGCTTTACATCAACGCTAACCTTCTCACGTTGTTACTTTAAGTTTCATTTGCACTGCTGCAACTTCAACCGAGATGTCAGATGCACCACTGCCTGACCTGTGTGATCTATTATACAGTGAAACATCCTATGGTGCCTTTTCTGATGTTAAAAAATGATGCAACTTTGCAAAAAAACTGTTTCTCCTTTTTGTTTCCTCTCGTGAGATAAAAAAAAAAAAAAAAACCCTCCCCCTCTGTGTGAGGTGTGTAACCAGGAATGATGGAGTGAGCTCCTGTAGTCTGCTCTTGATGGATTAGTCCCACTTACGTAAAGGCATGTAGATCATCTCAAATCTGGACCATCGGTCAGCACTCTGCCACTTGATAAGACAAGAGGCACGGAGGCTGGAACTTGATTCTGCTTGATTGATTCTCCGGGCCATCCATAAAGATCCCAAGCGTGCGCAGACACAGCACAGAAGTAGACTGCTGTGGGATTAAAAGTTTAGTAGGTGTGTCATCTGACGAGAACCACGGGTTCGGCGCTCAGGGGTTTGCTATGATTACATTTGACTGAGACTTTTTTTCAGGGGTGCAAATTTGTTGAGGAAACCAATTCCAAACTTGTCAGTATTCTACAACCGTATATTAGTTGTATGTTCACCTGAGAGTCTCTTTCCAAAAATCTTTTTAAAAATCTTTTTGGGGCATTTTGCCTTTATTGATCAGACACTGACTGTGAAATGGGGAAAGAGAGAGAGAAATAAATGCTTTATAGTCCTGACGCTACGAATTGTACAAATGGAAGCACTTCTTCAGATGGTCTCTGAGACATTTAAGCACCCTCACTTGCATGCAAAAACAGAAAAGTCACATAAATCATTGTGTGAAGAGTAAAAAATGACTTTCACAGCGACACACAAATGGCCAATACTACACAATCCAACAAGCACTTTGTTTGAAGCATTTTTCTTGGACCTTTTCAGCAAACATTTACATCCGCTGATTTCCGACGTGCACCGAACTCTGCAGATTCTCCAGGTGAGAAAGCGGAGCCACACCCATAGAGTTTCCTGCAGAACGCATCTGAGCAGAGAAACTCCTGCTGCGTTGTGCATGTGTGAGACTCAAGCTGTGGAGAAAGTCTGGACTCAATTCTTATTTATCCATCTTTTTAAAATAGTAAAGCTTACAGTATTAAAAGATAAAGTCAGGATCATTTATTTTATTATTCAATAAACGCTTGTTTTTTGGTGTTATTCAAATTGCACACAAATTTCACACAAATGTCTAATAGGCAAAAACGATTATATTTTATATCCACAAGGTCATAGGTCAACTTCACAGTGACTTCAAAATGTTTTCTGGCCATTACTCAGTGTCTCAGGGGGAGATTGTGAGCACATTTCCTGTAAATCGACTGCAAACAAAATAGAAATTCCATTTTTTCTTTTTAATAATTGGTGCCAACAGTTCATTGATTCTACAAGCTAGTAATGACCGGGCAGCCAGACTTTGAAAACCTTTGTGCTGTCGTCTTAATCTGAAAAAACAAAGACCGTAACATTTAGCAAACATTACTTCCTCTCCTAAATCAACTCAATCTTTTGAAATATTAACTAGTTGTTAGTAGCTACTGCCGGTCACATGACATCACCGTCACAATCTTGACTGACAGAAACAACTTTCTGACTAAAATCTGATCCTGAAATGAAACATTTACTGAGAATATTGTAAAATAGAAGAATTAGATTTATATATTAGAATGACAGCAGTGTGGGCCTGCATGTTTTTACACCGTGCCACAGTCCTTGATTTAATCGAGACAATTGACTTCATTTTCAAAATCAAATTTCGACCAGACTTCCTGGCCTTAGCACGGCCACGCAGGGTTGGGGCTGCATGAGGCGGCAGTCTGATGTGGATTGGACAGTGTGTTATTTGACAGTGTGCATGGTGCTGTTTGCACTTTCACTCTCTCAGAGGCTCCCAGTGGTTTGGACCAACAGCACCCAGCAGCAGCAGCCAGGGCTGAATTTGTCACAGGCGCTCATCCAGTCGCTCATACCTGACAAATCGGCTCGCTCAGATTGATTGGTTTCCTGTTGTTTAATTCATCAGTGTTTCTTAAGCCCGAAGCAGGTGTGAGAAAAATAACACTTCCCGAGCCACCAACACCTCACACATAGTTTATGATGGAGAAATCATGGCCCGGGCGGGGGACAGTGTCAGTAATGGTCTCACCATCCATTATCAGCCACACCTCTGATTTGTCATCCTATTAGTGGCTGCAGAAGACACACCATCTACATGCCTTTATTAATATCCCAACATGCAGTTCAGCTGTTGGTCTTCATAGCTGATTTTTTAAAGATGGGTTTGACATATTTGTACTCCCCCCCCCTCCACAGCTTCAACACCAGGGGATATGTAAATTAATTTCCCATTCATGTCACTCCTCTTTTAAAATATTCTTCTAATGTGAAGTGTTTGAATGATCCACCAAAGATAAATCATCTTCACAAGTAGTAAAAGTTTTAACAAAAAGCTGTGATGAATTTTTCCTTTGGGCTAAATGAATTCATTAGCTGCCTCCAGGACGGCAGCCTGTGGTGTTACGGAGGCGAATGTGCTGTGAAGAGAAAATAAAAAGACATGGCACTTAACGCTGGAGCTCACGTGTCCAGCAGTCAGGTGTAATGTGGAGAAAAGTGCTTCGCAGACCTGCTGCTGCCTTCAGATTGTGGTAAGAATGACGTGGGACGTCGGGTACTCATCGTGGAAAATGTTGTCGCGCGAGCTGCTGAAGTCATCACTCATAAACCAATTAACATAATTTTACAGTCAGCTTTAAGTAGTAGCCTATAAAATCAATTTATCAGACGTTTCACTTTTGGGACTTTGAAAATTGAATGACCATCTCTCCCAAGCACCTCACTCCAGACACTTTTATGATTAACATGCATAGGCTTTAAATGATTTATACTCGTATCACCTTTTCTTTGCTCTTGATTAATATGCAAATGTTGGAATGAGATGTGTACGATTTGTTGAAACACTCAAAACCCTTAAATACAGCCCATTTTGATTACAGCGTCTATGTTTTTTTTCCCACAATCTGACTTTAAAGCACATGAACGTTGACATCGGAACATCAACTTAACAAACTCAGGAGATTGGACCCTCCTGCAACTTCTGTGTTGGGTAGGGGGGCACTACAGACCCTTGATCGACGTGCTGAACCGGCGTTTCTTCATTTCCATCCCATATGAAGAATGCAAAAAGAGGAGGTGCTCCAGGAACTACATGGTGCCAGACCCCCCCCCCTGGCCTGTTTGATGGTCATGTCTGGCCCATGTACTTGAAACATAAGAACATTAAAATGTAAAACAATCCATTAGTTCCATTACATAATGCTATTTAATACATTAATGGAATAACGGGTCACCGTCATCATCAGCTGCACAACCCTAGTAGGTATTAGTATGTTCTAGCATTTCAATGTATTTGAAACATAACAAATGTGTGAGAAAGGAGATTACTTCACATCTCGGGCATCAAACCTACAAACCCTAATTTGTGTTGGTGTGTTCAAAGATGCTGTGACA